AAGAAGCCTCAGCCTCTGTGGATGTCTGTTGGGCTCCCAACCGATTAGAACACCTAGGACTGCTATCCTGGAATGTCACTCCTCCAAAGCCAAATTATCTTGGGCCATCTTTAGCCCTCTTAATAGTCCTTTATTGCCCTCCTTGTGGGTGAGCTACTATCTTTGAGAAAATTAATTAGGTAAATCCTTTGGAATGTACAGAAACCTGGCTCCCACAAAGAGGCTAAGATGACATCAAATTGCATCCAAGGCCTAAGGCAGAGAATCCCATTTGCTTTACCCCCGCCCCCCCCACACGTAGTGTTTATCTTTATATGACATTCTCTGTTCTTTTGTTCTACTTCTATAAAAGCTTCACAAAACTAGATCCATGTTGAAATATGCAATCTGTGGAAATATGGGATCCACGCTCACTCATATTTGGCCTCAAAATAATATTTTATTCCCTTTAGGTGAGAGTTGTGGTTTGCCTTTTGTGTTACCTTATTAAATTAATCAACAGCATTCTTCTGTCGTTGTTGTTACTTGTGTAAGCTAGACTCCACACTATTGGTTGAGATAGGGCTCTCCCTAGACTGGAACTCAAATAGAAGGGAAGGGGGCTGGGTGGCCAGCAAGCCCCTTGCACCTGTGTCTGACTCCCCAGGCTAGGCTAGGGCTGTGAGCACAGAGCACAACCCCTGGTGTTTTAGAGGAGTGCTGAGGACCAGCTGAGCCTCCCCTTGCACGGCTCAGGGTACAGACTAGGCTAACTCCCCAAGCCCCACTCAACAGTATTTATGAAAGGAAAGCCAGTCAATTGTCTGCATTCTAGCCTTAGGGTGATGCTGGCTCTGTAAGGAGAGCGTCTGCAGGGAGCTTGTGACTTCCTTGCGGCAAAGACCAACCAGTTTGAAATGGTGTTGTGTAGGACGGCACTGAACTCCCCATGAAAATGAAGGTGCCTGATTGCTCTGGTGCTGAAGACCAATGAAAATCAAGTCCTGAACTTTGAAAGGTAAACCAAGATTCCAAATAATCTGGATTAGTTAAAAGCAACATCCTCAGGGCTGGAGAGCTGGCTCAGTGGTTAAGAGCACTGGCTGCTCTTCCAGAGGTCTGAGTTCAATTCCCAGCAACCACATGGGGTGGCACACAACCACCTACAGTGGGATCTGATACCCTCTTCTGGCATAAAGGTATACATGCAGTTAAGAGTATTCATACATAAAATAAATAAATAATTTTCTTGAAAAATCAACATCATTGTTAATACTGAGCAAAATGACCTCCTTCCTTCATATCCATGAACTAAGCATACCCTAGACTTAGGCGAGAGGGTCATGAGTTTGGGTCAGAACCTGTGCAGAGGGAGGGGGGAGAGGAAAGGGAGGACAGTGAGAGGAGGAAGAAGAGGGAAGGAGAGGGAGAGACTGGGTGCTGGAGGAGAAGGGGGAAAGGGAGAAGGGAGGAAGTATTACATGCCTTCACTAACATGTGAGATTCTTCTCTGTCCTTGCTGACACCTCTTCTGGCCTCCGCAAGCACTAGGCACACGCGCACTACATGCAGTCAAATACTCACACACATAAAAGGAGATTGAATAAATCTTTAAAAGAATTTTTCAAAATGTAAAAACAAACACACCTCCTTCTGATAAAAATGTAACAAGTAAGGTACTGCTCTTGGCATGTGTAGACTTTACATGGGATGCACAGGCAAAGGCATTACACGGGAAACATAGACATATGTATTATGTGGGATACACAAACATGCATTTAGATATCATCTTAGCCGGAGCACACAGAGCTACCAAATTCTATTTGAATTCTATCCTCACTGAGAAGGAAGGCTCAAGCCACTGACTACGGTCCACAATAACAATAAGCTGAACGGGTAAAATGAGCAGCGGAGGAGTGGGGTATTAACTTCTTAACTTAAAGCAATCCTCTATGGCACAATTTCAGAACAATCTCTTGGTCTGAAATTCATATAAATTGAATTCATCTATCATTAGTTATTACCAGTATAGCTCCATTTAAAAAGTTTTATATAACAATTAGTTCTTAAAATCACTGTGTTTTAATTAGACCCAGGACATTATTAAACTAGCTATAAATATGTACCATATTTTATTTGTTATACCCAGATGCCTGGAAAAAAATCAACAAAAATACCCTTAAGTCTTTCTCCAAAATGTCTTCTAATAAAAGTCTTTCAAAGGTTTCATGTAATTGGAATTAACCTGAAATAAATATTAATATATCAGATTATAATATATTAAAATGCTTATATAGAATATTATAATACATGTTCTCCACTAGAGAACATAATATTAAATATATACAGATTCTAACATACATATTGTCTGGTTATGAGTGATGATTTCTTTTTTTGTATACACATATGCATATGAGCACACACACACTCATAATATACGCATGTGTGCATGTGCAGACACACACGCACAGACACACGCACACAGGCACAAAGACAGGAATGATTACTCAAAACAAGAGAACAACTCCAGGCACTCTTAGAGCTTAGAGCGCCTGGCAGAGACAATTTCTTAATCTGGTGGTTTTTCAACAGTCAATACAAAAACATCTAAAATCAAGAGATTGGACCAACACCTAGACGTTTCCAGCACCTCAAACAAGCATTTTCTATGGACTGTCAACATGCTTCCATAGACAGAAGATATGATTGGTTCAACATTATGTACATTACAGGGCAGGTATCTGGTTCAGTTCTTATGCAGTCAGAGAGAATTCAAACCCACCCTGCTTCAGGTTGGGTGGCCACTACCACTTGTAAGCACAAAATTCCTTCATAAAGAAAATCCCCAAACACTAGCAACACCATTCCGTATGAATGATTTATAATTCAGAATTTTTCCCTCTGTACAGCGAGTCTTTACAATCTAACTCAAGGGCCAACTTCTCCTATCATTCCACTAATGTAACTTCTTTCTTCAAACATGTGCATACTTTTGAACATTCCATATAGGCAGAAAATACGCACGGGCCCCTGTACGGAACATTCGTTTCAGTGACTGAAGTCATGGCAAACTGCCACGTTTCGCTGACTGGATGTGACTGTGTGGCTAAATTTCTGCAACGAGATATTAGTGGAAGGATGGTATTGGGATTCCAGCAATGCTACTGTGTGTGTGTGAGAGAGAGAGACAGAGACAGAGACGGAGGGAAGGAAGAAACTACAGCAGCTGCCACATGCTGTGGATGGCAGAGCAGAAAGACAGGAGTTGTCTCCTGAGAGGCCAGGTCATCGCATCATATTTAGGTAGCCCTACATGTATGTCATCAACCTCGCTGTAATTATGTTAAAGAAGGGGGTAGAGTCATATGTAACTTCACTGGAGCAAGCACTCTCTTCGGTGAAGGGCCAGAGGGTTTTGCTTCAGCCACTTCCACAATTTCCCCAATGCATCTTCTCAATTATCATGGGCACTTTCACGAGTGAGCAGCCCAAGTTACGAAGCCATGCCTCATAGTGGATGTGAGTGATTTCAAACCTCACCAAAACTGGCTTCCAGAAAACTTGTATTTTACACATATTATTCTGTTAAACAATGTGACAATGTAGAGAAAGAAATGAAAATAATAGCTTGATGAGATATTACTAAGTCTAAACTAAGTAGTCTTAAAAATCAGTGCACACATTCTGTGTCTCTGTCTCTATCTCTACCTCTCTCTCTCTCTCTCTCTCTCTCTCTCTCTCTCTCTCTCTCTCTGTTTGAATTTGAGTCTCATGTGACTGAAGGTGTCCTTAAACTTGTGGCAATCCTACTGCCTCAGCCTCCCCAGAGCTAAGCTTATAGAAGTAGCTACTATGCCTGACCAAGAGGTTATTTCTAAATAGACTTTGTTTCTAAATCCAATAAAAATATGATATCAAAATACAAACAACAACAGTAACAAAACCCAAAGCACAGTATCTGTAAGAGTGGACATACTTCAGCACTGTGTTTCACAGAATCAATATCATCTAGAAGACAACAACTTCAAAAACCATGTAGCATTTTGGGAATTAACACTGGGTTAGCAATGTCTTTTAAAGCTTGAACTATGCATACAATGCAGACACAAGTGACACACAGAATATCCTAAGCACACATAGGGGTGTTCCACCTAGATTCATAAGCCAGTTTATATTCCACTGATTTTATTCCAGTCATGAGTAAGTCACTACATTACAGGTCTGTAAGTGAGCTCTGCACCTAAAGCAAATATTCTAATTTATTTTCCTGAATTTAGCAAATGTGAAAGTATAAGCATAATTATTAAATATAGGAAACTGTTTCTATCTCCATTCTTTTATAACACAAATCAAGTATTATGATAATCTAATTTAACATAATTATCTAAACATTAAAGCAAGAGCCTCCTAATTACAGAGGCTCTGCTTGCAAAGGTGGAACTGTGTTTTGAATCATTTTATTTATAATTTATATTTACACCTCTAAAAATACTATATTTTCTTGCAACTTATTCATGAACTATATTCTCGTGTCACTCTTTTTGTTAGTGTTCCACAAAGATTTCTCAGACATCCAAGGTTGTACATGGTAGCTTCTTTGACAAGAAAATGTAGAAAATAAATGATGTGTCAACCATAAATTAGCATTCCCTTTCTGACCAGCTGGGTCATGTTTCCTTTTCAAAATCCCCTGTCCCATGACACAAAATAATAATCATCTAAAAGACCTCATTAAGTGATCAATATATTGACATAACCTCTATAAGGAGGCACATAGCATTTTAATTGATTCCTTGAATCCATTAACGGACTATTAAACCCAAGTCTCCAAAATATATTGCAAGAGAATATTCACGTGTTTTTACTTACTATTTTCCCCAGGGTATAATTAAGAGAACGTGCAAAGATCCAAAACTTTTATATTTCACCAAAGAGTAAAAGAAGTTCAGCTCTAAATCATTTGTGCAAAACAATCTCTTAAGAAAAAATAAAATAGGCAAAGTTAAACCACGTGTACTCACCAGAAAACTCCCAAATGCTGAATTAAATATCGCAGCCGCCTGAGAAGAGAATAAACGGGAGAGAAACTCATTGAAAGCAAACAGCAACAGGGCAAGCAAAGATGACCGGTCCCCCTTCCCCACCGTTCCAAATCTCAGCACTGACCCTACAGAGTAAAGCCAGTCACTGCTCTCACGAATACCAGCGGCCTGTAGTTTACTAAGACAGAAGGCTGCAGCTTAGGAACACATCCATGGTGGGGCTCAGAAGCAGTCAGGAAAAGGCTCGCCAGGAGAGGCTTCAAAACTGTATGGCCCAAAAGAACAATCCCCGACAGTAAATCAAAGCATGGTTATTGTTGATTTTGCTGCCTGGGAACCCCAGAGGTTGATCTCCACACAATAATGCGTCCCTACCTAAGAACTACCACCACAGGTGACAGCTGTTGCCCTGTACTTCAGCACCAAGGGCAGGACAGTTGCGACCAGGAAAACTATTGTCATGCTAACCATTCCTTGGTTAGAAACAAGCAAGAAAATGTGCCATTGGTACCCAAAATTAAAGAAAGGATTGATTCTGCTTACCAAAGCATCCTTGAGGACTCAGCAGAGGCTATCCACCCTCAGCTAAGTCAGTTCCTGTGTTCCATAAAGCTATGCGCCAGAGTCCTGACGGCTTTCACATTACTCAAAAATGGGGAAAAACTTGTACATTTGATGAAAGGAAATGGAGCGGGGGAGGGGGGAATCGGAGAAAAAAACAAACCTAGGCAAAAGCATGTTGAGAAAACCTATTTAAATGCCCAGAAAGTTCAGAGCAGTGTCAGTTAGTCGTTAGGAACATTCCGGGCCGCAGCGTAGAAAAGAGGGCATCGGTTTAGGAAGTTTGACGGTAGCGGAAAGAGCTCTGCTCCAGAAGAGGACACAATGAGAGTGCATGGGTAATGAGATCACGGGCTCCAGAGAGCTTGGCTCTCTTACGCCGCTTCATAATTAATTCAAAGCTTTGATAATTTCATTAGATTTCTCCTTTGCTAGTCCTATCAATAAAAGATGGCACTGGACCCCAGCTCTTCTGTGGCATGAACACAGGCAACAATCACAGGCCAGGGAAACCTCTGCTTTTTGACAGAGATAGAGGCATATGGCGTTCTGTGCTGTACTGGGGGAGACGATGAGGGATAAAAAGATTCAGCCACATAAAATATTACAAATGACAGCTATAAACTACAGCGACATTATTTTTGGCATCTCCCTAGAACTCAACTATGGGCAATTCCAGGAAAGTTCTACACACAGAGAAAACTGAAGGGATACACGTGGGTTGTGGTCAGAACAACGGGGTGCGTTGGTGTCCTCACACACATGTGTACAGATTCCCCAAGAATCTGTGAGCGCAAGCTGCATTTTATGCTCCAGATAGATCGAGCGTTTTCAAAGCCAGCAGTTAGGACTTCCCACCAGAGTTCTTCCCTCCTCATCATTTTCAGACTCTTTTCCTAACCTTACACCAGACAGCAAGTGAGCCGCCCAGCCCTTACAGAAACGTGGCGTCACTCCAAGTGTAACTCACAAGTCAGAGTTGAGAAAGTACCCAAACCTCCACCCCAGCCACTCCTGATACCTCCGTGACACAAACTTGAGTAATATTTCATGCGGACTGGCTGAGACAGCGGTGCCACAGTGAGATGCCCCACACACCTCCTTGGCCGGTTTCTGACTGTGGGAAGATCTGAATTCTCTGCTATGTCATCCACTCGGGCGGGAAATCAACACCTTTTGTGAACTGATTGATTGAGGGCTCTGGTACTCCAAAGACCAGGTGAAGTTAGATACCCTGAACCCACAGTGTGCAAGGAGAGAACCAATTCCCACAAGCTTAGGCTCAATTCTACAGCAGCAGTACATGAGGAAGTCAGGATTTCAAGAGTTTTGGAGGCTGTTTTCTGGTGTAAGGAGGGCTGCCCTCCCCTTCACACAGTCTGCAAGGCCTCTCCTTTTCCTTCCCTGCCTCGTTAAACTACTCCCATTTCCTCAAATTCATGATATCATGCTATTTCTTACATCTTTGCTCCCTGATCTAAAATAACTCCTCCCTCAAGGAAGGGGGAGGACCTTAAGCAACCCTCGGCTATCCTAGCAAATCAGCTTGCGGACCACGCCTCCAAGTAGCCAGTGAAAACTTACATCCACACCATCCAGAGAAGGGACTGGAACACAGTACTCTAAATATTTAGTAAACCGAGATGAAACTGACTCTAGCCACACAGGAGTCAGGCCAAGCCAGAGTGGTGAAGCCAGGGAGCTGATGCTGTAGGCGTGTCCATGTTGGAAGAAGCCCAGGTTCTGGCTGCCAAGGAGGGCATGAAGCAGAGTGGAATGCCAAAAGATGGCACCTACGGAAGAGCCACCAGTAACACAAGGCCACCCACCCCTTCGATGCCCTAGGAGACAGACAAGCAGGTGTATGTCTGTAGCCCTCAGCCAAAGCAGCTCCTTACTGCCATCTAAAGACAACATAAAAGGGAAAAAGGTGTCTATAGTCCCTCACAAAGGAGAAGAGCCTGTGGCTGGAACCAGAGCCTTCTGAGCCCAGCCTTCTCCCCTCTGCATGACTTCTCTGGCTGTTGCATCCTGGAGCAGGAAAGAGCAGGATGTGACCGGCCAGGCGTTTGCCCACCCACCACTCCTCGATGTGGTCACAGGCTGATCTGACAGACTCTCAAATAGCCTGGGTTTTGCTCTTCTCAGACAGTTAAAAAAAAAAAAAAAAAAAACCACTGGATTTTTTTTTTTTCTTAAATGAGTAAAGGAAGCGACAAAGCAAACAGAAAGCTTAACCACACTGCAGAAGGTCTGAAGAAGTTGCAAAATGCTCTGGATGGATTTTCTTCACCAAACATTACCGGAATATGGGTCTCTGTCTCTCACCACCTAGGTCCTCTGGATCCCCAAACCCTGACCATTGGCTCCCCGTAATGGTTCTTCCCTTCCTGATCCAAAATTCCTCTAGAACCTTCTATGTGTATGACCTATGACCCAATAGTAGATCAGCCAAACCGAGACCTCTCCCCCCCCATGCCCCACTGGGTTAATAAGGTGGCCTTGCTAGTCTGTGAGGATTTAGAGACACAGGGGAGCAGGCTACTCAGCAAGCAGACACACTGGCAGCCTGAGTTTGCTCCCTGGACCCACAGTGTGCAAGGAGAGAACCAACTCCCACAAGTTGTTCTCTGACTTCCACACTTACACACCAAAGCGTGCCCATGTGTGTTCGCATGTGTATGTGCACACATACACGCACAACAAACAATGTTTATAAACGGACAAAAATAAAAATCAAAATTCCCATTCTTGAGCAATCAGCCTAACAGACCACTGTTGATGATTTATGATATTTAGACATATGGCATCCTAAAACTCTATGACAATTTATCCGAACATCAAAAAAAAATTAGAATACAAAGTTTATTCTTAAGCAAGGTGGTGGGATGTCTGCCTGTTCACCTAGATATTCAGCCTGCACAAACAGCCCATGAGGTAAGGTGAAGTAACTTCCTCTCCAGTCCGGACAGAAGACCTTACACTCAATATTCTGAAACGAATTATCACATGAAGCAGAAAGGGCTAGTGTGGCCCCGAAGCATTCACCAACTGAAAGAGGCAGTTTGGAACACTTTAATTCTTTGTCGAGCCCACTGCTGGAGGGAGCGCAGTTACATATTTTTATAAATGCCGACATACTTCCTACTTGAGAGGAACTGTCTGTCATCAAACTGCTGCTCCAGGAGGAAGCTATAATTCTGTCTAATTTCTGCAGGTCTATCTTGCTACCATGGTGGGGAAATTTCTTTTTCTTGCATATCCTTTAACCTGAGGTGAACAGAGTTGCTATCCCTGTTTGTAACTATTCTTTTCAAGTCAGGCATGGAAAATAGGCAAGTTCCTGTTTCTGCGCCCTAAATTGAATCAGGTGTCCTCTCCTCTTAAGAAAATGAAGCTGCTTTGGTGCTGGCGTGTTTTAATGAGAGCGGAGCCGGCCGACAGTGACAAATGGCAGTGACACGGGAGAGAGCACGCGAGCAGGACAACGTGTGCACGGCACAGGCTTACAGACTATTTTTCACTGACTACTCTGAATGACTTCGCTGTTTCTTAAGGGGCCTATTAATCTCAAATTTAGTTATTACACAACGTTTATTTGAACATATATTCTGAGGATGATGACAGTTAATAAAGGCAATCTCTCACAAGCTGTATTTTACATATTGTTGCACCTACAGCTCCCAGTCCTTTGATGGTACTGATGGAACAGTCGACATTGTTTGTATCAGGCTTGTTTTTTTTTTTTTTACAGTGCATATATTCAGACTCCTTTCTAAGCACATGGGAACTCTTAAATAACTGTTAAAATGCATAAGAAAAAGTCTGCACACAAAACGGTAAAAGTAAAAGGGCATCTTAACTGTTCAACAAAAATCGTTTAATGTGCAGACTGACCCTTCTAAGACAAACCAGACGCCTTTTAACACTTTTAGAGCTCGGGCGCCTAATATACACCAACCCTTGCATACCAATCCACTCTCACAGTGTGCGCAGAGCCTGAGACAGAGGGCAAAATCAATTTTCTTGAGGTGCAAAAAGAATCAAATAGCAGCAGCTCCAGTGCTCTACTCCTCAGATGTTTACCGCCAAGTCCCAGACAGTGCAGAGGCTGCGGTGGTCTCCAGTCCGTTAAAGGACCCTTTTTACATTCTCCTCAGTTAGCAATTCAATAGATCCATCAGTTCAGACCAGGTTCGGGTTCTGGGGGAAAGAGTGACTTTAAGTAAAACTGGTTACACAATAGAAAAATTCACGACAACCTAGAGGAAGACTTGCAAATGCCCGTTACCACTGAGATTCCTGTGACTTCCTCCTGAAGTCTCAGGTGCAGAGAAATCAGACCTAGCGGGCAGGATCCCTGGATTCACTGACAAGCCCTTTACAATGAAGAAAGCTTCAGGGAGGAAAGAGGTCTTTCCAAGGTCACGTGGTCCCCAGCAAAGCCAGACAGAAAT